TTTGGCACTCTTGTACCTTCTCCGACTCAAAACAGTATCATGGCATCATGAATTTTTATAATACCTCATCTAGAATTAAAGATATGTTCAAATAGTTTTTGTAAAAATGTGCAAAACGGCCATTTTGAATATATGCAAATTAGGTATATTTCGGAAGCCTAGATTTTCCTAGACTTTTAGTATGTCAATCTAGATACCTTTTCGAAAAGCACGGTGAAGAAATTATTTCTGTTGCAATTTGTGACGGGTTGGCCCCCTTTTTTTACTAGAATGACTGGACTAATTGTGCAATATACATCAATTTTTCCGAACCATGCATTCGGACAAAATTTAGCATGTGATATGGACAGACAGTTACTTATAGGAGTGTTGGTTCTGATTAAAATAAAAGCATATACCCTACATTGTATTGAATGAACAGAATAAATGAAAAACTACTGTACACCCCTGGATGCAGACCATACTTCAAGTTCACAAGAACAAGTGGCACACATCAAAAATTATATGCAACATTGCATTTGAAAATGCATGGTTGATACTGGAATATAGCAGGAAATTGTCATAAAGTCATTATGATAGGATAATAATCAGACATGTCTCATTGTATGTGGTTTCTGTGGCCAAATGCTATCTGCTTGTTGGATATATACTTATGTTACACTGGAGTAATATCAATGGATAAATTGACAGGTCTGCCATCTTATTTAATCATACAACTGTACATCACAAACTGCTCTGTTATTTTGTAACCTAGTGCGGCATCTATTCATCAATTGATAAATTACTTACATGTACTTCCCCCCTTTCCCTGCAGTTGTCAGGGAAATGTCTTGGTTTAACTTGTATATGGTATGTTAGAATAGATGAGGTAGAAATGTATGCGCTTTGAGATTTGGTTGTCAGATAAGATTCCATCTCTATTAGCACAGCAGTGTTTGTTACCTTGTTATTATAAAGTGTTTGTACAATATAAATGGTGAAATTTGACAGCTGGAGTAACATCTGATTTCTTACTTTGTCTACCAGGTGTTCTGTGAGTGTGTCAGTGGATACACTGGATTGCTTTGCGAGACAGAAATAATCCAATCTGTTGGTTGTTTTCCAAACCCTTGCAATGGTGGAGACTGTTTAGAAGATTCATTGGGATCTGTTGTCTGCAGGTAAGCAATGTGTAACTACTGAAATGTTGCAGGGAGATTTGCAGGGGTGTTTGAAAAGACTAAATGTCACCAAATTACTTCGCCTCTTCAGGAAGTGACATCACAAGTAAAACTCCCTCTGTGGCAAAAGTCTAGTTTCAGTTGTTTTTTCTCCAAGCTTACCGGTAATCCTCAAGTATGTGACATCATATTATCACTTAATTGTGCCTTACATTATCAACTAGGAAATGCAGTTTACTCATTCTTAGCAATATTTCTTTACTTGTGAAACTCATGGACATTATTTCTTTGTACAAATTAAAGCTGATCTCAGCATACATTAGACTCATATAAAATCTAAACTCTTGGTGCATTACTGTAGAATACTTTATTTTCGCTTGGAATTTATTTTCGCTGAAAGGATGATTCCATGAAAATAAAATCCAGTGAATAAACTTTTTTTTTCTCTGATATTTCACATTAAACTCATCAAAAATCGGTGAAAATAAATTCCATACAAAACGCCCAAAAAGCCTTTTCAGTGAAAATTAATTCCAGCGAAAATAAAGTATTCCACAGTAGTTTATAGGTCAATAATTTTGCTAGCATAATGTAGTATAAAACCAGTCAAGTTTTCAATGTCTTTGAAAAGTTATGGCGTCATATTTATGCATTTTTCTATATTTGATGAGTTGAGACATGCAGGACAACATCTTTACTGGGAGAATGTCAACTTTTTACAGTGAGAATCATTGTCATTGATAATTTCAGCTTATTCAAATTGAGGACTTGTCTGTTGGATTCCATCTGTCTGTTTATGTGACGTAATGTTTTGTGCATTCACTACAGTTATTTTTGGATTTTTTGTGAATTTAACCGATGACAATATTGGTTTTATTTTTATTTGTCCTTAACTATTTCTGAGTGTCGGTTAAATCTAGAAACAGAAATTGATAACACATCAGTTATCTTGTAATAAATATCTGAAACACATACATGTAGGTTTTGTGAGTACATGTCATTGTGATAGTTTATTTCTTATTACTGTTTTTAGATGTCCTCCTGGTCTAACTGGAGATCGATGTCAATATAATGACCCATGTATCAGTAGTCCCTGTCTGAATGGTGGTGTGTGCATATCAACACTTACTGACTTCACATGTCTTTGTTTTGATGGATATGAAGGGGAGTTTTGTGATAGTACATTACCAGCTTGCGCTGGTAATCCATGTGTTAATGGTGAATGTTATGATACTGGTCCTGATCAGTATGCATGTACCTGTGTGGCAGGTGAGTTATTTCCAATGCCAGGGGAAAGGGAAATTGACATTGCTCATGTTTCACTCAGAGGATGTTTCCGTAATTTATTATTAAATTTTATTTATGTAAACTGAAATTAGTGGTTTTATTGTCATATTCAAAAAAATGGAAAGCATGTCATACACATGAAAACAACAACAGGAAATGCGGTTATAACTGTTTTATTTTGTAAATGTTTTTCTATTAATTGCTTTTCATCATAATCAGGATATACTGGTGTAAATTGTGACTTGGAAGTTGATGACTGTGAGAACCATAACTGTCAAAATGGAGCAACTTGTATCGATCAGACCAACAGTTACAGGTAAGATGTACTCCATCACATTTCAATATCCTTGTGGTCCATTATAAAACAGTATCATCCCAATTTGCACATGAGTGTCAAATCTCTTTTATGCTCAAAATTCTTGTAATTTTATTCACATTTTCTGTAATTCTCACTGAATTCAGTTTTAATTGCTTCTAGTTTGTGATTGAAAAGTTTGAAAATATTACTTGGAAACTAATATTCTCGACAACCCAGAAAGACCCAAAGATCTTTCTACCTTAATATTTTTGTACACACCAGTTTAAACTAATATACACCTAAACAAAACTTATATCCAATATTTGTTTGAATATGAATATTTATTGACTTCAAATTATACATGTGTACACTATGAATTATTGTCGCTATGTATGTTGTGGTTATTTAGACTAAATTCTCAAAATCCACTGTGACTCCCTATCCATATTTTACTCTAATGACATTTTTACTGCACTAGAAATTACTCAAAAATTGCATTAATTAATTAAATAATGTCATTTACAGTATTCACTAACTTGTATACATTATATAGCAGGATGCAGCTAAAGGTAGTGCCTGTCACGGCATTTGTTTGTGAGTCTCACAAAAAACAATGTGTACCTTTCATTACTAGCTTGCAATTTGCTGTGACATGTAAGCCATGTGACATGTAAGCCATGAACAATTCCACTATTGTATTTTAGATGTAAAAAATTAAATATACCAGCAAAACATAAACAAGTACATCCAGCTACATGTATATAAAGAAGAGGTATATTTTTTCTGAAAATGTCAGGTTACAAACTTTGTAGTTATAACACTATCTTTCTTTCCTGGTGTAACATTCCTTGGTGTTTCCAGTTGATTTATATTTCTCTTCCTCTCGTAGTTATGTCTTCCTCAATTCTTGAACACCCTCTGTTGTGCCTTCCTTTTAGCTGAGTGCAGTATAGTGGCATCTGATCTGCCCTGGATTGTAAGTATATTTGGTACGCAGTGAATTCCACTATCCATGCTGTAACCTTCATAGTATAAGAAAATTGAGTTCAATCTTATTACATTGCTAAACTTGGCTGTCATAATCATTTATCTAATTGCTGCTTATATCACTTCCTTTACCAATATATGTATTACATGTTTCGATCAACATCCACCAACATGTTCCCTGCTTTGATCAACATCCACCAACATGTCTGCTTTGATCAAAATCCACCAACATTTTGCCTGCTTTGATAAACATCCACAAACCGGTTGTCTGCCTTGTTCAAACTATACTGTCCATGGTTCAACATCCACCAACATAATGCCTGCATTGATCAACATCTTCGAATAGATTACCAGCTTTGATCAACATCTACCAATTGTTACCTGGTTGTATCAACATTCAGCAATATGTTGCCTACATTATTCAACATCTTCCAATGCATTAGCTGCTTTAATCATCCAACATGTTCTTACTATTTATCACTTCTATTCTGACCAACATCTGTCCTGCTGGTCATGCTCCATCATGTTGTCTGCATCTTTTTATGTTTAGTAGACACATTTAGTACTCACCAACACACTGTCAACATTCTGATACATTGCCAACACCAACCAACATATCATATATAATCAAATCTGCCAGATCTTTTCATATCCAGATATCTATGCTACTAAATGCAGAATGTATTGTATAATACACAATGATGCAACAAATTGTTGTTCAGTTGTATGTAATATTAAAACTGTTTTTTAATCAATACAGCATTTTTAATTATAACTTTTTAGCTTCATGTGTACATGTAAATAAAGTTATGTTATTGTTATTTTTCAATGTTCAGTGTTAGGCATGTTGCATGGAACCATATCAAACATTTCTTGAGATTCAACATCTGTGGAGTTTTAATGCTACCATAATTTGTTTTGTTCAACATGTCATGTTTATTATTATTTCCTGTTGGCAGTTGACACTTGTGTTAGATTTATATTACCGGTAAACCAGGGAGTTATTACAGTTTTGAATATATTATGTATTTGCTTTATAATAGAGTGCACACGATCCAAGAATTATTATACTGCAACATTCAAATACGAGTTATCTCTGTCTTTTATGTACACTCTTAAAAATAAGTTTCAGACTAAAATTGTGAAATTGACTTTTATTTGTAGGAATTTAGATTATTTGCTGATGCAAGGATTCTCACCACAATGCAAATTTTTCGAAATGGTGAGAGAAAAACAAAAATGAGTTGCCTTTTCTAGTCTATTATTTTTTTCAATAGCAGTGACCACTACTGATAGAGCAAATACAGAATGATGTGAAATGTACATTCATAATTATTATTGTCACTGTTTCAGATGCGTCTGTGCTCCTGGATTTATTGGTCAGCTTTGTGAGAATCCCTACACATGCTTTGACAATCCCTGTCTGAATGGTGCGCAGTGTGTGCCCACACCTAATGTCGAATTCAATACCCAATACACATGTGTTTGTGCAGACATGTTTATTGGTGCAAACTGTGAACAGGTGAATTACTGCTCAACAAATCCATGTCCATCCGCAGTTTATTGTCAAAATTTAGACAGTTCCTATTTCTGCGATTACTGCTTTGGTAAGTTTTAAATTGTCACATTTTTTTTAGTGATTTATATTAAGCAGGTTATAGTTTGTAATATGCAGTTTTTGACTTTCAAACCAATTGTTGTATGTGAATATTATTTGTTTTTGTTTACTCTTGTTATGTTATGCATGATCTAGAGCTTTATTTATAATAATAGGTGCAATACAGATACCCCTCATTATTATTATTAGTGGAAGTGACAATCTGATGTGAAACTAGTGTATTGATATGAGTTATTAACCAAAGTAAATTTTCATCACCTTACACAAAATAAAACCACACAATTTGTTATCATACTTTTTTTAAGTGCCAACGTATCCCAAACAGATATGTTTCACAACAGTTACAATATTTGTTCTTGATTGCATGACATCCCTGGGATGAAATGAGTTACATGTATGAGATATTTCAACACTTCACAATTTATACATTTTTCAATAATATGAGGACTAATTTTTTTTGCCAATTAGTACATGTATTTACTAGCTTACTGTCTAACAATAACATCCCAGCCCTCTCAGATTATGTACATTTTGCCACTACAATGGCTGATATTTCAGCACTGGGCCAAGTTTCATTTAACCACTAGATCTAATAGCATTTCGTGTTAGTGCTACTTACACTAACCACTCATCAATGTCAATTTAAACACCATGCGTATCACAGACTAGTCTAGCCATTTCATTGTGTCACCTTTCACAATTCAAATAATTTGAAAAAATGTCATTTTAGGACCTTTAAGAATCATGATGAGTATTATAGCTGATAAAAATAATAATATGAAAGAAATACTCAAATTACACAAAATCTCATCAGAAAAAATTGTACAGTGAATTTGATGAAGGCATGAATATTTTTTTATCAAATATTTCTAAATGTGTTATTGTTTTAAAATCAAAACATGTTCACGGATGCATAACGGTAAATCGACCAATGATTGAAGGAAACCCACAAAAACTGTTGGGTAATGAACATTTACCAAGTGGCTACATGAATAGCCAATGAAAGCATATTTTTTGAATTTGAATGTAGCATTTCCAGTCATGTCTTCATGTAACTTACTGTATTAATCAAAAGGTTAAGACAATTTTAAGTCTAATTTTCAGAAATAAGCAAAACAAGTACCGGGTAGTAGTTTTAATATTTTGCATGTCTTAAATTGAAGTTATGTAATTGTAACATATTATGCAAATATAATATATTATTATACATCTGTCACCGTAACGCCATAAGTTACAGCTTGCCGTTATTTTGCGGTATTTTATGGGGTATTTTCATCCTACCATATTAGGAAATGCGAATTTGAATGATTACGCATTACCTGGGAATGTTCTGTATCCTTCATAGTGATATTTCAAGGAGAATTGCTGGTATAATTCAAAATGTTATCATTGTATTTTGTAGTTAATCCTTGTAATAATGGTGGCACTTGTGAAGTAGATATCTTGACCACATCTGGATACACATGCTCCTGTATGGCTGGTTTCATCGGTGACGACTGTGAGATTGACTTTAACGAATGCCTCTCTGGCCCATGTTTCAATAATGGAGTCTGTATTGATGCAGTAAGTCAGTTTTTTTTAACTACATATCAGGTTTTGTGAGAATGTTTGCTATTCATGTTATTTTTTTTGACTCCCGTGTGCGATGAGTCTTTGCAGTTAGTGTGTCTGTGTGTCTGTGTCTGTCTGTGTGTGTGTGTGTGTGTGTCTGTTCCACTGATATCTCAAGAACCATACATTGATTTTTGATGAAACTTGGTGCATAGATGCTCTGGGCCATTGCACAGATTTGATTAGGTTTTGGTAAAAATCCATGCATATAATAATTACCTAATTTGCATGATTTTTAGCTGTTCTATGATTGTTCCACTGATATCTAAAGAACCACTCATTGGATTTTAATGAAACTTGGTAAATAGATGCTCTGAACTAAAGCGCAGATTTGATTAGTTTTGGATAAAAATCTGTGCAATATTAATTACCTAATTTGCATAATGATTAATAAATTTTTGGCTTTTCCACTGATATCTCAAGTACTAATCATCATATTTCAATAAAACTTGGTACATAGATATCATAGGACACTGCACAGACCTGATAGTTTTTAGGGTACATATTAACTGCCTAATTTGCATAATTAATTAATTTTCAGCTTTTGATATTTCAAGTACTAATCATCACATTTCAATAAAACTTGGTACATAGATGCCATAGGACACTGCACAGACTTGATAGTTTTTAGTGAAATATCAGCACGTATTAATTACCTAATTTACATAATTAATTAATTTTCAGCTTTTGATATTTCAAGTAGTAGTCATCACATTTCAATGAAACTTGGTACATAGATATTACATTACGCAGGCCTTATTAGTTTTACACTCAAATCAGTTCATATCAGTTACCTGATTTACAAAATTGGTTTTCAGCTATTCCATCAATATCTCAAGTACAAGTAATTTTGAATTAATTTTTAATGTGTCTTCAATACTCGGAGTTCACGGGAGTTCTTTCTAAGCTTTCTTTGATTTCATTTTGCATGCAATATTGTTGCTGATTCAGATTTCAATAAAGCATAAGAAAATTATATATTGGTTGTCTCAGGAAAAATGACATTCGTAACCCTTTCAAAATACTCGCATGTGCATATATTTTATGAACACTTACCTTGTTTTCACTGAAGAATTTATAAATTACAGGGATACAACTTTGATATCCATGTATATGTATTCCATTCTCATTCATGTTGAACTTGTTTTGACCAAAGACTTCACAGAACCAATAGATGCTTGAAAATGAACAAAGTTATTCAAAAAGGAAAGAAACATGCAAGAAAACGGAACAAACTGGGACAACACTAAACATTTTTTTTTCACATATTCACATGCTTTATTATTTTAAGAAATGTATGTATTTCTCGCAAATCACTTTACTTTTGATTGGATCTGATTTGATTTGATTCATCTTGTAAATATTTTGTATCACTATAGGTAAATGGCTATACTTGTGAGTGTGTATCTCCGTACTCTGGTGACCGATGTCAATACAATCCATGTAGCAGTAATGAATGCAGTAACAATGCACAGTGTGTACCAACTGATATGTTCAATTATCAATGTCTTTGTCCTGTTGGACTGACTGGAGTTCACTGTAAACAGAGTAAGTACTGTCACACATTATACAATCCATCTTGCGTAATTACTTATTTATCACAGAAAAACAAAAATATAAATTGTTCGAATAGCCTGACGAGGTCGTGTGAGTTGCGCCCTCCACGGTGCTCCAAACCCGACACACGTCTGACAGAACAATGTAGTTTTTCACTTCCCCCGACTATTTTTTTTCGGCACCAATCAAATTGCAGGAATGTCAGTTAGTGACAGCCATCAAAAAGTAACCATTTACTGCAGGGTTTATTTGTTTGTTGACATATTGTGTGATAAGGTGCTGGCACATTTCTGCCCAATGTTTATCATCTTGTTGAACACAGTCTGTGATTTTTGCCGACAATGCAAACTTGGCTTTGATTGACGGTGTTACCATGATGAATATTCATTGCAAGAAAGCGTGAACTTTACGAATTCGCAGTAATGATTTAGCCAACAAGACGTACTGTAAAATACTTTATTTTCGCTTGGAGTTAATTTTCGCTGAAGGAAAGATTCAGTAAAAATAAAATCCAGTGAATATGCATTTTTTCTTATAGTTTACATTGTCAATAATCAGTGAAAATAAATTTCATACAAAACACCCAATAAGTCTTTTCAGCAAAAATTTAATCCAGCTAAAATAAAGTATTCTACAGTACACTATACTGTCAGACGTAAGTGGGGTCTGATGCCGTTCAGCCGGCGATGGCCTACTCATGCCTACATGTCAGGCTATTGTTTCCAAAGGAAATTATTAATATGAATGGAAGATAACAAATTGGAAAGCATATAATCAGTAGTGAGTGGTCTCATGCATTCATTGCAGTGATAATATATATTATATTCTTTGCATTAAGGTACACCTGAACAATTATACCATGTGTAATTAACAACCTTTAAGGAAATTGGTAGTAAACTGTAAGCATTTTTTTATAAACAGCTAGTAAACTACTAGTATCTTGAAACATTCAACCCTAGCCCATGGTAATATTTTAATAAATTTTAATTTCACTACTAAAAAAGTTTAGTATTTATCATTACCCTTGTGAGTTTATAGAGGAATCTATACCTTGAAAAATATTTGAGTTCAGGAGGAATTTATTTTTGTATATCATTCTGTCTTAAACCTAAATTTAAATTAGTTAAAGATTGACAGAGGCACCAGATAATAATTAAGGCATGGTACAGTGATTATCATGTTTGCACCGGGGAGGTTGCCAGTTTGATCTTCCTGGCTGATTGTCTACTCAGAAGCACAAATTACTATTATTAAATACATAAATTAGTAAATCTGTATGAGAAATAGTGACTGTTCCTATTTACAGTGTTTGTTAATTCTGTAAACTCAGAGATCAACTTTTTTCACTACTCAGTTAAATTTGCATACTCATTTCCATGCTCGTCATCAACTGTAGCCAATGGGATTCTATGCCTACTAAAATACCTGTATCGTCACATACATAAAAGTGTTATTGATAAATTAATGACATTCAAAGGTTTAATAAAAATATTTGTTCGCAATCACAGAACAGGTTTCAGATCTGTACATTGATCTATTGATTTTAGTAATAAATAATTTTTAAAAAACTCACTGATACTATTAAATAACTATTCATGTATTTGTATCCAGTATTTCTTCTAGTAGAAGTGCATATACTTGATTAAAATGAGTCTATGGTCAAAATATGTCATATTTTAATGACTGTCTTTTTTTCCACAGCTATCAATATTCAGATTCCAGCATTTCAACCATCCAGCTATCTCCAATATAACCAGGCTTTCTTCGGGCAGCTCAATGTTCTTCTGTCGTTTAAATCCACATCGACCAATGGAATGCTTCTCTATGCCGTCACTCAGACCCCAACAGGTATGATAAACTGATTTGGAATTTTATCTTCTTTTTTTTTTAAAGATTAAATTTGTCTAGCCTCTGTTATAGTTTTGGTAACACATTGCAGATGTATTTTTAAAATATTTTATTTTCGCTTGGAATTTATTTTGGCTATTTTCGTTAAACGGCCGATATAGGTGAAAATAAAATCTTGTGAAAATGCATTTTTTCATTTATTTTACATTCAACTCGTCAAATATCAGTGAATATAAATTCCATACAAAACACCCAAAAAGTTTATTGAGCAAAAATGAGTTTCAGTTGAAATATACAATGTAGTATTTCATGGCACTCAATTGATTTAACTTTCAAGTTGTGAAAGTTTATGTCCTGGTTTCAACTGTACATTTTTTCCACCTTTTTTTCAGCTGATTACATTGCTATATATCTCCAAGATGGTCGTGTCACTTTCATGATGCAGGTCACCAACCAGGAATCTGTACAGCTGATCAGTCAGCAGAGTTATAACGACAATGCTTTCCATCTAATTAACATAGAACAAGGAAGCGGCAATATTTTTATGAATATTGGAAGTAGTGATAATACGATAGCTCCATACACTGGTTCTGTTATTGCAGGTTTAAGTACTGTGTACTTGGGAGGTTTGCCAGATGTGAGTTAAATAAATTGATTCATTGTGAACTTGACAGTCATGCAAATACATATTTGTTCCACACGACCAAACGTTCTTTGTATAGAAGAAATCTATAGTTTATTGTGAACAGGAGAAACATTTGACACTCAAAGGCTCAATTAGTAGGCAAAGTTTTCATAAAAGCTTCAAATGTTACTTTGTGTCTGAAAATTTAAAAAATGTTAACTATATAATGTAACATAACTTTCCCTTACAGTTTAACTGTGTAAACCAAATAATGTCTCTGCATTTAGTTCTCCACAACCACTAAATATAAAATGTATTCAAAAACAAAACAAATCATTCTGAGACATATATGGTGTTTTTTGAAAATCGCTTGTGGTTTCTTGTGACCCCAATTTTATAATTGCGCATATATACACCTAATACCTGTACAATGTTACACCAATAACCTATATCAGTGTAATCATCCCCTCAGTACCCCCTGGGTACTCAAGTTATGATTTCAGATACATGTAACTTTCTGTAAACATTTTATTTTCATCGCTATTAATTTTTCGCAATTGTGAGGACGAAATGTTTGCCAAAGTCATTGTGTCTGTCTTAAAAATACAAATACTTAGTACAAAACTTTGGAGTGGATTATTCATTTCCTTATTTTTATTTACAGGGTGTCAGTGGCATTAGTATTGACAGTGCCTTCACTGGATGTATAAATGACTTGCAGATTGCAGGACAGTCAGTCGATCTTCTCACTGAATACCTGTATGGTGTGAATATCGATAACTGTTATGTCAGTGTCTGTGAATTAGTCACTTGTAACTACAATGGACAATGCATTGAACTGGTAAGTCATCTTCTTCCAGGTATTACAGTTCAAATGAGCTGTTGCTGGAGCAAAAACCTAGACAATTAGAAAGTAAAAGATACATTGTAGCTGTGGCTAACACATTTTCTAGACTGGAAGTTCCTGGAGATTTGCTAAATTGTTATTTTTAATTGCGAAGAATTTTTGAATTATTATTTTGTCATTGTCCAATTTATAAAATGGCCATCAAAGCAGGGTGCATTGTGAATAATATATCATTATTTCCATTGAAACCTGGAAATCCACATTTTTATTTGCACTTCGTCATTCATTTGTTGGAACTTAATCTATCATCAAGAATTTGTAATGCTTTAAAAATTTCTGATTTTACTTCTGTAAAATTTGTATTAGAAGCAGTGGTTTATAATTAAATGGCACAATGCAACAGAGGGGATGCGGCATCTACACATATGAGAAATGGTGAATTTTTGATTCCAATTGTTTAAAAAGAATGGGTGTGACTTCTATTAGGGATGCGGCTTCTAATTTTACGGTACTGGTAGTTACTTTCTCAGATTAAAAACAACTTTCTGATGAACTAATGTCTGAATGAAATATTTCAGGATGGCACTGGATACAATTGTGAATGCTTTGATGGTTTCTCTGGTCCTGAGTGTGAAGTATCAATATGTCAGAGCAATCCCTGTCAACATGGCGGTACATGTACTGAGAATACAGGAGATGTGCAGTGTCGATGTCCATTAGGATACGCAGGACCTCAGTGTGAAATAGGTATAAATAGTGAATTAAGTCAAATAATTGTTTTATTTTCCAGAATATTGACTGCGACAGTTTGTAGGGTATTACACTATATATAATCTCACTATAACTTATCCATGTCTGAGGGACTTTGTATATCTCTTATAATCACAACTGAAACCAAATGTTTTTAGAACAAAATCAGCCACATACCAACTCAATAATGAGATGCAAAAATCCTATAACACATTCATGTCAATGTCGACCTCTTCCTGCAAGATTAATATTATGGTCATGTGACTAAATCAATCCAATCATTAGGTAGCAACAAAACATTGGGCTAAATATATGCATTGGTTGGTGTGTGTAGATTTCAAGGAAACCTAGCATCGTGTTTTATTTTTTCACCACCATTTCTCCCTTTTCAGCACATTTTCAGAAAATACTGCCATTTATAGTCTGCCCTTTACTTTAAGAGATTGGGACAAAAATGGTTAAAATATTTTGAGTGAAAACTGAAAATTAGAGCTCATTTACATAGTGCATATCATTCAAAGTTTAGCATGGAATGTCACTGACATGGTGTGATAAATATCATGATGGATATTATCATTTTATCTGTGTTTTGCAAACGATTCACAGAGAAAAAAACAATTTGTGTGAAGGTTTTATACAGTAAAAGTTAACCAGCAATTCTCACTGCATAGTAGTTTACAACATTTCAATTTTTTATTTTCAGTGACATCATTCAGTATTCCTTCTTTCAATGGTAACTCCTTTATTAAGTATCCATTGCCACCTGATAACCCAGTCTTAGATACATTATCGATATCCATAAAGTTCCGTGCAGAGCAACCTGATGGTTTGTTGTTGTTCAGCATACAAGATAACATAGCGGGAGATTTCTTTGCTTTGTCGTTGGTGGACAGTCAAGTGGAGTTTGAATTCAATCTTGGTATGTAGATCATCGTGAGCTTTCATAACCTACATGAATGCTGGCGTTGTGTTTGCTTTATCATAATTGCTTGTGTTTTATGATTAAAATGACTTGTCAGTATTGGTTACTTGGAGAGATGATTAACTCAGAATGGTAGACCTGTAATGACAAGCAAAACAAGCTTTTTATTTTTATTTTTTTGGAGATAAATATAGGAACCAATAGAACAAATATGAAAACTTTTTTTTTGTCTGAGATGGTATGAAATGTTATTAGGGGAGAGTAGCTGGTGAAGATTGATATTTTGCATAAAAGCTTCGGCTTCTTCACTTTGACCTAAGTTTTTGATGATGCATGTTATGCACAGATTATTTTTTATGAAGCTAAAATATTTAGTGCATACGTTATGAACTGTGTTCATCATGCAATTATTTTTTCCTTTTCTGTATACATATATACTATAGGTGGTGGTACTGGTCGTGTTACCAGTGATCCAGTACCGTTGAATGTATGGATAGATGTCACAGTTGATAGGAATGGAAATTCAGCTACTTTAACAGTGCAGGGACAAAGGTAAATAATTATAATCTTGTTGCATTGAGGATAGATACTACTGTAAAATCTGTATTAGAAGTCGCAACTTCTATTAAAATGGTACAATGCAACAGAAGGGATGCAGCTTCTATTAGAGCATCTACTCATATGGGGTAAATGATGAATGTTTGGGTCTCAATTGTTCAAAAAGTATGAGTGCAACTTCTATTAGGGATGCAGCTTCTAATAGAGATTTAACAGTAGTAGGTATGAGATCTCAGTGGTGAAGTAAATTGTCTCTGCATGCTCTTTATAGTAATACCTATCTCAATCAGAGGCCTTTTTTGCATCCAGGGTCTAAACTCAGTGTTGTACAGTGGAATTATAGGAAACCATTACTCGTATTGCTTTACAAAGCTGATGGATGCAGCTAATGATACTTATATTTTCTTCTACTGCCAGTCTAAAGAAAATAACTTTAGTTATTATTCACAGTTGTTTGATAAATTTTGAATCAATACAACAATAATTTGTAATTGATGATAAATTGTGGTTTATATTGTCCATCCACAAAAGAGAGTATTAACTCTTTAAACTTTATAGTCCAACCAAAGATTTTGTACAAGATTTTGCACATTTCTATATATTTTTTGATAATTTCTAAAATAAAATGGCCTAAATGGACACAATTTTTCCATTCCCAGTTCTGATAAAAAAAATTATATAAAATAAAAATGGAATAATGTTTTGTCTGGGTGGAATGATCAATTACATCATTTCTATATATTATACATTGCGTCATAACATTCCACTACACTAATGAAGTTGAACCATTGTATTCCTTAATCTATTGTATCTATTGTCACAGTCCTAAAGTTGGTACGTCTTCCGGGTTACTGACATCACTCAATGTTAATCCAGAGGTGTACATGGGTGGTAGTGATGACATGACAGCGCCCTCAGTCAGAGCTGGTATATCAAGTGGTTTTTATGGATGTATACTAACATTGACAATACAGGGATATCTATATGGGTGAGTAATGCATCATTAAGTATTAACTGTAAAAACTTTCACTCGTAAAAGTTTGACCATGTAATTATTTTGGCAGATTTTTGTAAAATTTTCTAAAATTCTGACTAATCACAAAATTGTATTTTTTTGGTTCTTCAAACTTTTTGTCGATCTTAGAATTTTTTTCTTGGACCTATGGTTATATAAAAACACCATTTAGGGACAGTATTCAGTGTTACACCAATGGAAGAATCAATAAATATTCATCTAGACTGACATACACATGAAAAATAACTAAATTTGCATAGTTCTAAAACCATTGCGTATTATCCAGACATGATACAGTTATTTATGTAAACTTCACTTTTAAAACAATAGGTATTGAAATAGTTTTTACAGCTTTCATAATGGTAACTTAAATCTTTTCTATGGTGTTGATCACTGATTTTTACTCTGAAAATTTGACCAAATTTGTCAAGATGTCAACAGGATTTTGTTTTCCGCAATTCTGACCAGTGTAAATAAAACACAGAATGATATAATAGGATCTGTTACCAAACCACTTTCTACACAAAAATAAATTGAATCGTTTTGATAAGGTTCATTTTAACACAGCACTCCATTAGTGTAGACAAAATTCAAGCAAGCTTAAACTTTTTTCTTTTTATTCTGTTTCTACTAGAACCTTAGATGCCATTAGTGGTGCCAACGTAGGCCAATGCGACACCAGTTTGTGTGACGCTGAACCCTGTCTAAATGGCGGCACGTGTGTGTCCGAGGCTTATTCGTATTCATGTCAGTGTCCCATTGGATACATTGGAAATGATTGTGCAATGACTTCAGATAACTGTGCGGGTAATACTCAGTGTGCAGATGGATCAACGTGTGTCTCTACGATGGATGGATTTATGTGCGTTTGTCCTTCAGATAAGACTGGACAATACTGTGAACTAGATCAAGGTGAGATTATACAAGTATACATGAAAGCAATACAGCCATTGTGCCCTCTGCCAACACATAGTATAGGTGAACCGTGGTTAGCTTTCAGTCAGTTGTATTTTCATCACATGCTGCACTATTGCCAAGTCTGATTTAAACAAAAGAAAGTATTCGAATGTGACGTAAATATAATATGACGCCCATTTTACAAGACACAGTTGAATATGCCCTGAACACTTTCAAACATATCGGTACATGTTTGGCAGATAAATTCTATTGTTTTCACAGCCAGGCGTATAATGATATTCTTTCAAAATTGTCCGTAGATAGTGTCAAGGTTTGGTCCGATATCACTTATTCAAACTCGTCACCATTCAACTGTTTGTAATCATTGTATTAGGAAAACTGCACATAATGATAGGAGAAAAAACAATATTTGATGAACTAAAACAAATATCATGGGCTCTGTTTTAAAAATCATATCGACAGCTATTTGTATTTAAAGTCTATTCTTCTCATCATGTTGACTTTCTAATATGCAGATCTATCTGATATCATTCCGGAATTTTATGGTGATTCGTATTTGATGTTCGCACCACCACCTAATATCAATGATGAGCTGTATATAATGGTTCGCGTCAGACCTGTTGATGCCAATGGTTTGATATTGTACTTGACAGAGACAGACCCAACTATCCCAGATTTCTTCTCACTTGGTTACTTAGAAACCAGATTCCAAGTTCGGCTAGATCTTGGTAAGGGTTATTTTTGTTGTATCAATTTAAAAATTTACCAGATGTCATAAAGTAAGATTTGTGATTAAAAAAAAAAACGTTTTTCAAAAAAAAAGCTTTTTTCCCCCCCAGACTGGCAGTCGTATGGTTAAATGCTTCATGTTAGTTACATTGTTAGCTGCATGTAATGTAATGGTTTCCCATGATTCCACTGTGCAATACTGGGTTTAGACCTTGGATGCAAAAGACTTTTTAGATCTTGTTGGGAGTGAGAGAGCCACAAGAATTTTTTTGAATACTGCTTCATTTTCTCTCGTCATCATGTTCACTGTTCAACTGAAATATGTAACCATGATAATTGAAGCAGAGGACACCATGATTTGAAGGAAATGAAACACCATTTGAGGGAAACTATCTCTTACTCTCAACATGATCTTAACTGCCATTTTACACTGAGGCTTATTGCCTCATCTTTGTTGAACTTTTGTTTCAATATTTTCAATTTCTTTTTTTTTTCACAAATTTTTTAAAAACTGAAGAAGCAATAAGTGTGGCCATTGTTAATTGGATATATCATGATTTGTATTTTTTCTTTGACTTTGTCTTCAGGTAATTTACTAAATATCCAGTGTTCAGCATCATGTGTTGCCACATTCTTGTTGAACAGGGATAACAAAATAGATTAGGACTCTGCATGTATATAATAAATCAAAATGGCCACTGTTCTTTAAAGTGTGGGAGCCTGCATTGTCAAACTCAGCACAAAAACAAATTGAACTTTAAAAAAATGTCGAAAAATTCCAATTAGTTTGCATTTGTCAAGCTATCTTGATGCATATTTGTTTTCACATAATTCATACGCATGTTGTATGTCATGTCATCTATGCTGCTCCACACAGTAGTAATATGGCTTTAGATCTAGTGAAGAATACGTTTTTTGTCACAGGATTAGCAAATTTGTTCAAATTAAAATGGCATCAGAATGATAGTGGTCTTTGACAGTGGATGTTTTTTAGACCATTACTCTGTTCTGGGATTACATCAAGCCTCTAAAAGGATTTATTTTCATTTATATTTGACTAGATTTGTAGAAACATGATTTTGAGACAGCTGTATTGCCTATTAAAACTTAAGTTAAGAAAATGCTGCACAAACATTTTAGCAGGAACTGATTAAACAAAATGGTAGTTTGATTTATATTTGTATCATCACTATTTATCTATAGGTTCATACACAGGCAGGATAACCAGCTACGAAACAACTCTCAATGAGTGGCACACCATTACAGTAATCCGTATTGGAAAGTTTGTAACATTAGAAGTTGATGGACAGTCATTCTCAGGTCAAGCAGAAGGTATATCAGTTGGACTCTCAGTGAATACTATGTACATTGGTGGTGTGCCTGATTTTAGTGCAGTAAATAATGATATGGGATTTTTCACAGGGTTTCAAGGCTGCATTCAAGATTTACAGGTAAATATTAAATTCTGAGTATCACCAAGCAGATATGAATTCTTTGAACAACATAATCTATTTAAGTCACCATTCACAAAATTTAGTAAATGATAATCATGTTCAACATGGAAAATTACATTAAAATTTGCAAAATTTGGGCATGAACAATTATACCATTCATAGTTGTAATGATTTTGGTTTGGAACAAGTAGACAAGACAAGATGTCTACTTTGAAAACATGATGAGGGCTCAAAGGTTATATACAACATGGAGATGTATGTTTGCTGATCATACAGAATCTAGACTGACATTATAAGCATTCTAAACACAACAGTGCATAGAATTGATTGTAAGATTGATTCTAAATAGGTATCATGAATCACTTTTTTCAGAGGGCTGTAGGAGAGCCCTCTGGAACTTGCTTTTGCTGGCAAAACGTTTACTACCGGTAGTTCAGTTTTGAAATGACTGCATATTATCTTGCACATGTGTGCAAATATATATCATACTGTGATTTCTGGCATCCACCTTAAAATGCTAGATAATACATGTAGTATTGATTGCATGTGATTGATGTAAATGTATCAAGGTTAAATGTACCAAGGGTACTTCATTTAGAGTGGTGATTCACTGTTTATATTCAACTTTTTTTGTGTTTTTATTTGTTTCTCTCCAATTATCCTGCATATTTATATTTCTAGATTGGTGGTACTAGTCTCATGGATACTGTCAAATGGCAGGATTCATTAGAAGGGACCGATGTAGGATACTGCTCTACAACTCCTTGCTCTTCTGGCCCTTGTCAGAATGAAGGTGAATGTGTTACACTTACTGATGACACATTTCAGTGCGTGTGTCAAGTTGGCTGGACTGGAACACTATGTACAGAAGGTGGGCTATTAGCATAAGATTAAAACATCACTGGGTATAGTACATACTGGGTATCAGAATGTTATATGAAGTCAAGATTATGCCTTAGAGCCATGCATCCCTGATAGGTTTTGGTGCTAGTTCTGCATAAGTCCATATTCAAAACAAAACATGTCTAAAAAAGATGCCATTGAAATTAGAAAAGTTGTCATGACATTCATCCACTGAACTTGGATTTAAAATGTGCAAACAAAAATGATGATAATTTAGAGAACTCTGCATACAAATGGCTCAAAGTAGTAGACACATAATTATTGAATTTACATATCACAAACTGTAACTCAGGACATCACAATCGAATCATTTCTGTTTTGTTACAGTTGTCACTATCTCCACACCTTCCTTTAATGGAAACTCTTATCTGGGTTTCCAATCTATTCTGATGAGAATGACAGTGATTGACATTCAACTTGAATTCAAAGCGGTCAATGCTGATGGTATCCTGTTATGGAACAGTTTATTTAATGATTTTATCACTATCGGATTGGCTGGAGGCAAGCTGTACTTTGTCTTTGACCTCGGCTCAGGTAAGTTTTTTTTTTTTTTGATCAATTAGTTCAAATTCATTTGTTGAAAAGTGTAAAAAAAAATTAACAATGTCTTATCAGCGGAAAAAAATATCAACACCACAAATCATTCTCTCAATATTTATGAATTTCACAAATCAAACTGAAATGAGGGACTTTCTCTTGGCTGATGGAATAACATTTCCAAATAGTGTTAATACACGCTGCACTCATTGATTGGTGACTGCCGTTGAAATTTATGAATTTTTATAAAAATCAAGAGATTGGGTAAATAGTATCTAGTGATAACAATCTACATTGACAGAAAGTGCCGAAATAAAATGATCACAAAAGCTGCTATCTCTCTATCAGTTT